GTTGGCGGAAAACACGTAGAGAATGGTATGGACAAGGAGGAAGAAATAAACCATAACATGAGCTCACGATTAGAGTGCAGGGGCATGTATGTTGAGATTGAAGAGATTGTTTGAAAGACTTCCAAATCGTGGGAGAAGTGAACCATCAGGAATTTAGAGTCAGTGCAGGGGACAGGAGGTAGTGAGGTTCTTTGTGTGGGGTTATAAGTAAAGAAAAGAAATGTTGTGGGTTTTTTTTTTAAGATTATTTTAGTAACCATGAGTGGGTTAAGAGAAAATAGATACAGTGAAACTACTTTGAAAGCTGTTGCAGTGTTCAAATATGAAGTAATTACACACAATTTTCACAGTTTTGAAATAAACAGGAGATACTAGATCCGAGAGAACTAACGAAAGGAAAATTAATTATATAAAATCTCTAGTGTCTAAGTCATTTCAACTTTTAGTTTTAATTAGGAGTAGATACTGATGATTTAAACCATGATCTAGAGAACTTTGGGGGAAGTTAAGATACAGGTTATGGAAATCCCAAATGCAACAGCCTAGGCAAAAAGGGGAAGTGGCAGTTTAGGACTCCTGCAGTGGCTTAAATGTTTCATCAGGGTCTTGGATTGTATCTTTTAATCTTTGGGGTGAAGGCCTTTCTTTATGTATATCTTCATAGTTTCAAAATAGCTGCTGCATCTCCATATATCACCTTTGTGTTCCATACTAGAGGAACAAAGAAGAAACAGAAAGGGTGGAACTTTTATCAGCAGAGAAGCTTTTCATCCTATTTACTTGAAACTTGTCCTACAACACCACACATAGTTAACTTTGTTTTCCTTTGGGTGAGAATGTGTAAGATCTACTTTCAGCAACTTTCAAGTATATAATACTGTATTATTAACCATAGTCATTAATAACCATATTATTAACCATAGTCATAAGCTGTACATTAGATCTTTAGAACTTATTCTTTTTTTTTTTTTTTTTTTTTTTAAGAAAGAATGTGCATGAGCAAGGGAGAGGGCCAGAGAAAGAAAGACATACAGAATCTTCAGCAGGCTCCACCTCCACTCTCAGCATGTAGCCTGATGCAGGGCTCGATCCCACAACCCTGGGATCATGACCTGAGCCAAAATCAAGAGTTGGATGCTCAACCGACTGAGCAACCAAGCTACTCCAGAACTTATTCTTATAACTGAAAATTTGTACTCTTGATCTGCATCACCCTATTTCCCCCTCCCCTCAGCATTCCCCAGTAGCCACCATTATATTTCTGTTTCTATTAATTGGGTTGGCTTTTTTCCCTTTTCCTTTTTTTTTTTTTTTTTAAGATTCCACACATAACTGACACCATACAGTATTTGTGGTGTACACATATACATTTTCTTTATCCATTCATCCATTGAAGGACATTTAGGTTGATTCTGTACTTTGGCCATTGTGAATAATGTTGCAATGAGCATGTGTGTGCAGATATCTGTTTGAGATACTGATTTCAGTTCCTTTCAGATATATACTTAGTGGGAATGCTGGATCCTTATATGGTAGTTCAATTTTCATTTTTTGGAGGGTCCTTAATGGTTGAATCAATTTATGTTTCCACCAACAGTATATAAAGGTTCCCTTTTATCCACATCTTCCCCAACATTTGTTATTTCTTGTCATGTTGATAATAGCAATCCTAACAGATTTCAGGTGCTATCTCATTGTGCCTTTGTTTCATGTTTTCCTGATGACTAATGATGTTAAGCATCTTTTCATATACCTTTTGGTAACTTTTTTTTTTTTTTTTAATTTAAATCCAAGTTAGTTAACATTGTGTAGTAATGGTTTCAGGAGTAGAATTTAGTGATTCATCACTTACATATAATACCCAGTGCTAATCTCAACAAGTCCCCTCCTTAATGCCCATCACCCATTTAGTCCATCCCCCACTCATCTCCCCTCCAGTAATACTGTTTGTTCTCTGTATTTGAGTCTCTTATGATTTGACTCCTCTGTTTTTGTCTTATTTTCTCTTCCCTTCCCCCATACTCATCTGTTTTGTTTCTTAAATTCTACATATGAGTCAAATCATGATACTTGTCTTTCTCTAACTTATTTCACTTAGCATAATACACCCCAGTTCCATCCACGTTGTTGCAAATGGCAAGATTTCATTCTTTTTGATCACTGAGTAATATTCCATTGTATATATATATGCCACATTTTCTTTATCCATTTATCAGTCGATGGACATTTGGACTCTTTCTACTGGTCATTTGTATGTCTTTGGGAAAATGTCTGTGTAAGTCCTTTGCCCATTTTTTAAATGTTTTATTTGGTTTTTGGTTTTTGGTTTTTTTTTGTTTTGTTTTTTTGTTTTTTTTTGCTATTGAGTTGTATGAGCTTAATATATTTTGGATATATCAGATATATGATTTTCAAATATGTTCTCCCATCCTATAGGTTGCTTTTTATTGAAGGTTTTATTGCCATGCAGAAGCTCTTTAGTTTGGTGGAGTCATACTTGTTTATTTTAGCTTTTTGTTGTCTGTACTTTTGGTGTTTTATCTGAGAAACCATTGCCAAGACCACCAATGCCAAGGTTCTTTTCCCCTATGTTTTCTTCTAGGAGTTTTATGGTTTCGGGTCTTACATTTATGTCTTTAAGCCATTTCAAGTTAATTTTTGTATGATGTAAGATAGAGATCCAGTTTCATTCTTTTACATGTGGATATCCAATTTTCCCAGCACCATTTATTGAAGAGAGAGCTTTTTTTCCGCTTGTGTGTTCTTGGTGCTCTTGTCAAACTTAGTTGGCCATACATCTGGGCTCTCTCTTCTGTTTTACTGGTCTGTGTGCATCTTTTTATGCCAGTACCATACTGTTTTGATTAATATAGCTTGAAATCGGGAAGTGTGATGCCTCCAGCTTTGTTCTTCATTCTCAGGATTGCTTTGGCTCTTTGGGATTTCTTGTGGTTCCATACAAATTTTAGGATAGTTTATTGTATGTCTGTGGAAAGTGCCATTGAGATTTTGATAGATATCATGTTGAATCTATAGATCACATTGGATAGTATGGACATTTTGACAATATTCTTCCAATCCAAGAACATGGGATATGTTTTTATTTGTGCCTTCAGTGTATTTCATCAATGTTTTATTGTTTTCAGTATTCAGGTCTCTCACTTCCATGGCTAATTTTATTCCCAAGTATTTTATTGTTTTTGGCACTTTGTCTCTCTGAGCACCGTCAAGGAAGGAGAAGCATATATTAGGTAGGTGTCTGGCAGAAGAGGTGTTTTGTATAACCCATTGATTCTACAAAAAAAAAAAAAATGTATTAAACCATAAAGTTAAAAACCTTAACATGTTGGGCTGGAGCTCTTTCAGTTGTCTGAATACTGACTCAGGACACTTGTTACTGTTTTTGATCCCATTGGCTTTCTCAGACTGTGTGGCCAGAGGAAACCTAGGTTATGTCCAGGAGGAAGTGTAGAAAATTCATGTACTCTGAGGACCAGCTTATAAATATGAAGACTATTACATAAATATGTGGTTTCAAATGTCTTTAAATTTAATTTTAATTTATATTCCATGTTTATAGTTTTGACACTTAACATCTCAAATTATATTTTCAAAATTGTGTTTTTTATGCTCCTTCTAACACCATCTGTGATCCTAGATGAAGGTAAGCCTTTAAATTAAATGACCAGTATACTTGTAACAATTAAAAAAAATTTTTTTTTAATGTTTATTTATTTTTGAGAGAGACAGAGACAGAATGTGAGTGGGTTAGGGGCAGAGAGAGAGGGAGACACAGAATCTAAAGCAGGCTCCAGGCTCTGAGCTGTCCACACAGAGCCCGATGTGGGGCTCGAACTCACGAGCTGTGAGATCATGACCTGCGCCGAAGTCGGATGCTCAACTGACTGAGTCACCCAGGTGCCCCAACAGTTTTAAAATAGGAAATAAATGTGGTCAGATTATCAGGTATACATAGTACTTGTTCCCCCAAATGGTATGTGATGTAGGTGCAAAACTGTATAGCTAAAGATATTTAGCCACTGAGATCATTGAACTGGCCAAATATTCTCGAAAGCTTTAAGAATGAGGCTCTGAAGGTATGTGGTTATTTAAAATATATTTTGGACAAACCTCCACTGATGCAAAAGTTAAAACATCTAGCCAAGAGATTGAATCACTGAAGTGCAGAAAGAACCAGCAGTATGATTGCTACGTGTCTTTTCTGGAAATGCAATCATTTCATTGTTACTCACATAAGTCTTCTAAAGTGCTTTGGGATATTACTGGTAATATAGATTCTATGCCCCTGGGTAATAAAATAAAATGTTACTCTTAATCATTTGGAATTTTAGATGTTACTGTATTTTAGATTCAGCTGAGTAATTTTTCTTGGTTTCTAAGGGAGGCCTTAAAATAATTTTGTTCTTATATTATTATAGTTGAATAATTATGTAACAGTGCTTCTTCACATATGAAAAATAATAAAGGTGCAAGATATAAATAATATCAAAATCATGTTTTAGATTCTGAAAATTTGTTAATAATATAGTCCTCAAAGGTGTGTGTGTGTGTGTGTGTGTGTGTGTGTGTGTGTGTGTGTGTGTGTATAGAAATAATTTCACAATAAAATTAGCTTTATTCTAAAACTTCCAAGAGCCAAAAGTAATGAGATGGGCTTCTAAAGTACTTAGTCTGTGAACAAGATAATAATCAGTACATACAATTTTTAGGGCACTGTGCTGGAGAGTGAGGGACATAAAAAGCATTAAAACACATTCCTTACCCTTAAGAAGATTATGGCTTGAGCAAATAACAGAGAATAACTCATGACACAGGAAAATTTACTAATATTTGAAGCCATTTCAGTCATAAAAATCTGTGCTGCTAACATGATTGACTATTTTGGTTATTGCTACATAACAAATCACCCTAAAATGATATAAGACAATAGCTATTAATTTTATTATTTCTCATGATTCTATGGATTGACTGGGGCTCACCTGGGCAGTTCTTCTGGTTTCACTTGAAGTCTGTCATACCATTGCAGTCAGGTGATAGCTGGGCTAGGATGTTCCCATGTCTCATCCTCCAGAACATCTTTATGTGGTCTCTTTTTTCCCGTGTGATTTCCTCACATCATGCATTAGGTCTCCAAGTATCAAGAAGTAGACATTTTTAGTACTCTTATGTCCTGGGATCAGAAGTACCAGCATATCCATTTTCACCCCATTCTATTGATCTAGGCAGTTTTTTTTTTTTTTTTAAACGTTTATTTATTTTTGAGACAGAGAAAGATAGAGCATGAACGGGGGAGGGTCAGAGAGAGAGGGAGACACAGAATCCGAAGCAGGCTCCAGGCCCCGAGCTGTCAGCACAGAGCCCGACGCGGGGCTCGAACTCATGGACCGCGAGATCATGACCTGAGCCGAAGTCGGCCGCTTAACCGAGTGAGCCACCCAGGCGCCCCTGATCTAGGCAGTTTTAAGACCAGCCTGTGATAGTTGGATGAAGTGGGGAGAATAAGTTCCACCTCTTGATGTGAGGAACAGCAGGTAGGTAGTGGAGGCATTTTTAGACGTCATCTTTGGAGATTAGCTACCTCACTTGCTGATTAGTGGTCTTGGCCTTAATTGCTGTGGGATCTAAAGGATAGATGACTCTCTGACTTAGGTGACTGAGGAAATTTTCAAAGATTAGCTAAAACTTTTTCCTGAGTCAAAAAGGCTGAGCACAGAGGAAACAGTAGAAGATAGTAGGGTGGGGGACAGTGGGGTGGATAATGGTATTCTCCATAGGAAGAATAGCATATGCAAAAGTACACAGGTGAGAAAACAAAGTCATTAGATTAATAAGAGTTTAATAAAAAATATGATCCAAAATAATGGTCATCATAAAGCCATCAATAGTGGCTTTCATATCCTGGATCAGTACTATTTCAATTACCGTAGAAAGAACTAGTAAAAATGCATAGGAAGTAGATGTTTTTAAAAGGCTGATGCAATTCTAAATAGGGAGCATATCATTTACTAACAGCAGACTCTTTAAAACTGAACCAGTAATGGGCTTAGATATAAGACGGTGAAATTTATTTGGAAGAATTTTCTTTTGGTTTCCATCATATCTGAGATTCTATTCAGGTAGCTGGGCAATGTCAGAGTAGTAAAGCAAGCTACTTGAATATAGGTCAAGTAAGAAAAGACAGGTGTGGACATGGCTTGGGAGTTTTGCTTCCTGGATAATCCAGTTTGCAGCTTCATAGCAACTCAGCTTATATTCGTCAGCACTAGGTGAAAACTGATAGCTCAGAGTGTGAACAGTACAAATGTCCTGAGAACAAATAAGTCTCAACCTTAGGATAGCTATGTATGCTGTGAGATAAGAGTCTACTGTAAATTCTTAAGTCAAATCATTATAACTGACCCCACTTGGAAATTTAAATAACAAAGTCAACTCCATCTATATAATATATAATTCATCTATTTCTTTAACACCTTTATAGATTAGCTGCTATGTGAATAGCTCATTACAAATGATGTATAAACTGTCCTAATTTTTAGGAAGTTATTAATCTGGAACTTATATTCCTGTTTATTCCATGCATTGGCACTATTCCTGTGCTCTAGATGAATATAAATGTCTTCTACAAGATATTCCTAATATCATCTGGAGAAACAGGCATTTCCACTGACCAAGTCCTTTTTTTGCTCCCCAGATTCTTTGATTATTAATGTTATGCTGAAGTTTTCATTATCCTCATTCATTCATTTAGCAGACATTCATTGAGTTTTATCTATGAGTTAGACCCAGCGAAAGTGACTTTTGAACTGTGACCTATAGTATGAAAAGGAGTCAGTCTTGAGCTGAGCTGAAGAGAGAGTTCCAACACAAAGCACAAAGGCCCCAAAGAAGAAATAAACCTAATGTATACAAGGAACAGAAAGAAAGCCTTACAGCATGCTGAAGGAGATGTGAGTTAGTTCACATAATGTGTGCACTCTGAAGCTATAGCAAGGATTCTGATTTTTTTTTTTTTGAAATTTATTCTTTCTGAGTGGGAAGAGAGGGTACATTGGATTGATCTGAGCAGGGAAGTGATGTGATCACAATTTACCTTTTATAGGGATCTTTCTGATTCTGGGTAGAGGAGAAACTAACGGGAACATGGATCAACAAGATACCTGGAAGTTATTACAATAGTCCACAATGATGAGGGCAATCTGGATTAGGTACTACTGGTGTAATTGCTGAGAAATTAGATGCTCTCTGCCCCTCACTCTTGTCAATCCCACCCTTGCTGTCCCACATATTCCTCCTTTCTTCTCATTTCAGTGCAACAGTTGGCGAGTGCCTATCTTGGACCTCATAGCTCTTCACTTCTTTTGCCTCAAGCCCTCTTTTCTTTTCTACTTTACTTCTCTTGTTTCTAGCCCATTTACCTCTCTGATCTCTTGTTTTTTTCCATCCCACTGCTTTCTGATTTTTCCCTTTTTTCTCTCACTCTTCGTTTTTCTATTTATAGGTTTTATAAAGGGCCTTCTTATTCCCATTCATTGATAGATTATCCTTCACTCCCTTGAGGAGGCACATGAAGGGGCCAGTTTTTTCTAATTTACCCAGTCTAGGAAATTTAAAATATTCTGATCAGGTATATCTTATACAGGAGCCTATAGAATTAGGTCTCATTGTATCCTTGACTGGCACTGGAAAAGTCTCAAACTGTTGTGGCTCATCAGAAGAAGCTATCAATAAACATGCATGTCTTGAAACTGGAAGTATCTGCAATGTTAACTTAGTTTTGATTTGGTTGTGCTTAAGAGTCTGGCATGATGCTGGGAATGAGTGAGTGAATCAGTGGATGAATGAATGAAAATAGAAACTTGGTGCAAAAGAGAGAAGGTTTTCTGGTCCACACAAACTGATAGCTGTCTATCCCTGCATATATAGCTGAAAAAAATTATACCTTAATAGTGGCTTTCATATCCTGGATCAATGCTTGGGACCTTGGTAGATAAGTGTGCTAGGCATTGTACCTTGCTCCTGAAACAAAATGATGTTCTTTCAAGGTCAACATATTCCAGACTTGGTTTCCAACTATCTCTATGTTTGTATTTATTGCTATAATAGTAGACCACTCTTGTTATTCCTGTTCTTGATGTTCAGAGGTAGTGACTCAGGAGCCAGTCAGATCTCCCACTAATAGTAATAGAGTTGATAGCAGAAGTTGGAGACCCGCTAAGAGAGCAGAACCAGAGTAAATACTGCAGTTGAGGTCTTGGAACTGGGCATTTCTTGGGAGTGTCCACTGTCCAAATTTCTGTGGCTAATTCTGTCACACAAATCATGTTTTTAGCTTCATTAAAATACTTTAAAGGCACATAATACTTAATCATAGGAATTGGCAGTAGGGAAGTATTTTACATGATGAATAAAGTGCCACTGATTGATAGAAGAGTACAGAGTGCCTCGTGCTGATGGGAGCACCCTGATACTTCTGTGTGTCTAGGATGGGGCTGTGGTTTGATGCACTGGTTCTTATTTTGACAAAGCCCCCATGAGATTAATTAATCGAAATGTACAGTTTAACCTATGTGCACACATAGGTAAGGGTGATCTGTTTTTGTAGGTGAAGGAACTCAGCAGTATATCAATTAAATTAATTAAATTTTATTTTATCTTTAGATTCTAGGATTTGAAGAGATCTAAGATAAAAAAAAACGATGCAGGGTCTGTGCAGAAAGAGGGGACATGTGACTTGGGGAGAGGAGAGCCTTTGACCCAGACTTCTATTAATAAATAGTTTCCCATTTATATTGCTATTTTTCAACTAACCTTATATAGATGGCTACAGAAATACTCACAATGTAAGGAGAAGGGATGTGTCCTTTTATGAAAACGTGCATCCCCAATGAACTGTTCACTGCTTTACATATTCATCAATTCATCTTCTCCCTAGCCTCCTATTGTAAAAGAAAATGTCCAGAGTTAGTTGCTATGGAATTGAACTAGTTTTGAGTTGCAGCTTTTAAAAAACCTTTTTTAAACCTTGGTAAAACATTGTTAGTAGGCAATTGGTATCACTGTCTACTTAAGTTTTAAGATGTGGCTCTTAATAAACCATTCTTTTGTAATATGTGGAGATAGGGAGGGAGGGACAAACAAACCTAGTAAGAGCTTCTGCAGCATTGCTAAACTCAGGTTGAAGAAGGTTACAGTTAAGTACCTTGCCAGATATTTTAGCCAGTGAGTCTGTTGTACCACAAAATTGGGATTGCTAGGAATTCTTCTCAAAAACACTTATAATTTTAAGAAATGTACTTTAAGTTTTGATTTGTTTTGCATAAGTAAACCACATGCTAACACACCACTCACTTTTAGAGCACTATCCAAACATCACAAAGTCAGTTCCAAAGTCCAGACAATTTCCAGTCCCTCTGTCAGAAAGCAAATAACAACAAAAGACTTATTCCAAACATAAGTCAGCCAGAACCTTGGAGAACCTTCACAGTAACTTGCTTTGCACAATAACTTCAGGAAATTTTGTGAATAACCCACAGTGGGGAGCACACAATCCCATAATACTCAGAACATATTGCCCAAGTTATACATGATGACAAGGTAAACATTTGCTTAACAACTCTTTCAAAGGGGGAAGTGGTATGAAAACCAAGGGATACTCTCCCATCTTTGAAACCCCAAATTAGCTATAGTCTTGGCTGTACCCAGCACCCTTAGGTCTGAGCACTGCAAATTACATCATCTTTTGGTTCAAAGAAAACAGAAATTTAACTTTTCTACCAAAATGCGTCTAATTGTTAACCTGTTGGAAAAAAGGTAGGAATAGGTATGCATAGATGATAGGTGCTTGTTTCTGGTTCTTTTGTATTTCTTGGTGTGTAAGCATTTGTCAGCTGGTTGCTAGTGATTCTATACCTAGATACAACTCTTATGTATCCATTTAGTACTTTCCTGCTGAAGAGCACAAGATGAATGATCACTTGTGGAGTTTTCCAGCATGGATACAGTTCACAGTCATTGTTATGATGCCATAAAACCATCGTACACAAACTTCACTTTAGTGGTTTTACACTTAGCTATAACCCCACATGCAAGGACCATTAGAGTTAAAATGTCCCTTGAGTTTCTTTCTAACATTAAATTTATTTCAATTGCTATAGATGAAAACAAAGCAACAAAAATGTACTGGTCTTAAACACTATCCTTGAATAAAATAAAGCTATAATGATGAGATATTTTATCATAGTGTTTAAGGATTCCTTGCCGTGATATATTGCACAATGCACATTGGGTGCATAAAACAGGGAATAGTAATTAATTTTACCTTGGAAGTATGATCCTAAAGTCCAGAAGAAGGTCAGAGTTGTGTGTGTACAAAATCCATAGAGTGTGGAATGTCGGAAATATTTATGTGACAATTTGAAAATATTATTCCTGATTCTCATAATTACACTCCTCAGAGGAAAAGGGAATCTGTATAAGTCTGAATAAAGAAACAACAGGAGAGGTTAGCTACTAACATTATAAATGGACACACATTGTATACAGAAACTTAAAGAAGTTGGTTTTATATTAAGTGCAGAAGAAACATCTTACATTATTTTGTTGTATCTCAATGAAAAAAATTTTTTCTTTGAAAAATAATTAGCACTTAAGTGTTTGGCTTTTTATGCTGGTTACACATCCCATGTTAACTCTTACTGATATAAAAAAAATAAAATTAATGCTGAAAATGAATCTGTTATAGTAACAAATCCACTCAAGCTCAAGAGCACCAGTTTTGTACCAACTCCTCTCTGTGTGGAACATGGATTATACAAGTAAAAGCCTCTGTCTCCGAGGAGCCCCAAATGCATGAAACTCACAGTGCAGGTTCCCATAATTCCAGGAAACAGAGTTTTTTGTTGGAAAACTTTAAGATTAAATCTTTTAAAAAATATATTTATTTATTTTTGAGAGAGAGTGTGAGCAGGGGAGGGGCAGAGAGAGAGGGAGACACAATCTGAAGCAGGTTCCAGGTTCTGAGCTGCCAGCACAGAGCCTGATGCGAGGCTCGGACTCACAGACTGCAAGATCATGACCTGAGCCAAAGTCAGACGCTTAACCAACTGAGCCACCCAGGTGCTCCTAAGATTAAATCTTAAACTATGAGGTGGAGACCTTACCTTTCTCTTACAGTGTGGTCCTTCATGGAAAATGAGTAAGTTTATTGGAAGAACACTAGAGGGGATTTTGCTAATACTTGAGACTGAGATCCACATAATACATGCTTTGGAAGTAAAAGAAAGAGACTGGCCCCAAGTGCCGTCAGGTTGGCCTTTTAGGTGAATTTAATGCTCTTGATTTTTATTATGCTGCTCTGCTTCCTCTGAAACCTACACTGGTTTATTCCAACCAATGTGGTCTGAATTCCATCCAACATTTTAGTAATATTTATCCGCGTTAAACTCAGTATTGCTTGATAAGTCAAATTTGTTGTAAATCACTTCCAGTTGTATAAATACGTTATTTACTCATAATTGGTAAAAACTCCATGCTGTCATTGAGTCGACATATTCATGTAATTACCTAGGCTGGGAATCTGTTTAAGTGTGATTATTCTGGAGAAAGAAAAATCAAAAGAATTAAAGTATAATTCTGTGAAGACTATCATCTTTGACAGTTATAAAAGTAGACATTTTTCAAAAATGTGTTTCATTTTACTGTAACTTAAAAAAAATTTCACTTTCTTTTTATAAAGTCCCTACAAATTGTCCAAAGTTTGGATGGATGTATTTAAATATTTTAGTCAAAGCTTGGCAGCTGATGAACTAAACCTAGTTTTATTACCCATTCCAAATGACCCACCCTTTAGATTGAGTTCATGGGTTATGCCACCAACCCCTAAAGTAACTGGTGAAATGACTCATCATCAGGGGAAAGGCTATGGCACAACTCCAGTTTGGAACAGAGACTGGCAGTTGATTTAAGCTTGGGAATAGAGGCAGAGAAGGAGCCAAAGTTTAAGCTGAAGCTGGAATAAGGCTGTTCTAGTACTGAAACACATCCTCCAGATTCACCGGCTGTCCTCAAATTGTGTATTGAATTCAAAAGTAATGAGACCTCAGATCTGGTACTTATTTAATGCTGAAACATACTTATGATCTTGGTGATGAGCAATGGCCCTGCTGTTGTCTCTAATGTTGGTCATGGCAGCAGGTTGCTTTAGATTGGGCTGTCACAAAGGTCATGGAAAGAACTGATGAAAAAGTTGGCAAATTCTACTCTGGCATGTGAATCTGGTCTCAGGTGTCCCCTTGAGGACATGAGCAGTGGGCACCCACTGTCTTAAATCTACCTGATCACATACTGCATACTAGGTACAAAATATTTTGTTAATAAATATTTATTAAGCTCCTGTTATGCACCAAGTATGGTGCACTTTGTATACAGGTATATATATAGTAGTGGCCTCCACAGACATGATGCCTGTATCATGAATTTGAAGTATAGGGTTTGTTGGATTTATTAATTTCCTAAACTTACTTTTGTTTTTTTAGTTTGTTCTGACATAATGATAACAATAACATGGAAACCTTTAAGAGTCACTGTTAGTAGATCTAGATATTAATTCTCTATATGTTCTCTTAGGACTTTTTAGTATCATTTAAGTCACTTCTGTTGCTGGCAGCACCACCCTTAGGGGTCTCACACTTCCTTAGAGATCTGGTTGATGACTAGATATCCCAAACACACAGGTACAATTTATTAAAGTACATGTGAGCACCACTGTTACTCATGATTCAGTGTCCAGCTCTGATAGAGCTTAAATATCCTGCACCTGAAACCTTACGAACTTTGAACATCCAGAACATCCACTGTCCAGACTATCTTTCAGGCCACAGGGAAGAGCTTTTCCACTCCCCCCCATCCCCTGTGTTCCTGAAACAAAAGGTGACTGAATCTAAATGTGGTGAGTTTGTGGATTGTACTTCTATTCTTTGGAGATGGATATGGCTTCATTTGTGTGGGAAAGGTTTTTTCTCCGGCTTTATTGAGCTATAACTGACATATAATATTTATAAGGTATACAGTGTATACCATAAGTGATGAACTTATATATTGCATTATGATTATCACAGTAGCATTAGCTAATACCTCTATCTCATATACAAGTGGAAAAAAACATTTAGGTAATTAGATAAATTAACTTCTTAAATCTTAGAAGGCATGAATGAAATCAATTCTTGTTAGCCAGTAGTACAAAACATATATATATTTACCAGTTGTAAAATTATATATTTTTTCTTTTAGCTGTTTTAGCTGTCAAAACATATATATATTTACCAGTTGTAAAATTATATATATACATATTTTTTCTTTTAGCTGTTTTTGTGTTTCAGTTTGATTCTGGGGTACTCACAAATTAGCATGGTATTTTACAACATTTGCATGAGGCAACAGAAGTATGTAATATTTAACAATTCATATTTCACTTAAATTTCTATACATGTAGGTATACATGTAATATCCCTAAAGCATGATGTCAGATATAATTAGATTAATGCTGAGTGTTAGAATCGCTAATAGTTTCATTTTTATTAAAATATTTAATACATTTAATTATAATTTCCCAAAGTAAAATTTCAGCATAATTTAAATATATTTAAAATTTTCATATGAAATATAATTTGTACCTTGCCCTTCACATTCAGTAGATGTTGAATACTTTAGAAGAATATTTTTTGAAAATGTGCATGGATGGGGCGCCTGGGTGGCGCAGTCAGTTAAGCGTCCGACTTCAGCCAGGTCACGATCTCGCGTGTCCGTGAGTTCGAGCCCCGCGTCAGGCTCTGGGCTGATGGCTCGGAGCCTGGAGCCTGTTTCTGATTCTGTGTCTCCCTCTCTCTCTGCCCCTCCCCCTTCATCCTCCGTCTCTCTCTGTCCCAAAAATAAATAAAAAAACGTTGAAACAAAAAAAAAATTAAAAAAAAAAAAAAGAAAATGTGCATGGATGATAATTTTAATATTTTTATTTTTTAAATTACCTTGATTAACATTTTTATTAAAAACATTCATATTTCGTACACATTTATGATTGCATTTTATTTTTAATTCTTTTTAAAAATTTAAAAATTTATTTTATTTAAAAAAATATATTTGTTTTGTTTTGAAAGAAAGAGAGGCAGAAAAAGAGGAAGACAGAGGATCTGAAGCAGGCTCTGTGCTGTAGATGCAAAGCCCAATGCAGGGCTCGAACTCCCTGAGTGGAAGTCAGATGCTTAAATAACTGAATGACCCAGGTGCACCTTATTTTTAATTCTTAAGTGATTACTTTCAAAATAATACAGACTAAAAGTCTCAAATAGAGTAATGTAGCATTTTGCTGAAATGACGGTAAAAAATGATTTTAAAAAATAGTTTATGAAATATACAGTTTTATTAGTACATTTACAGATCACATAATACTTATTAAATTTAATTCTGTTATTTTGCTGAATTTCAATCATATATAAAAAATCATAACTTTATCCGTTTACCTTTCTGTTACAAAGTTATATTTGTCAAAGTAGGAAAATAGAATATATTTTATTTAAAAGTTGCCTTGATTTGTAACTTGTGAATATACAGAATTTAGTATGTTTGCCTCCATTTGCATTCATGCCCCTGGGCTTTCAAATGTTAAGTTTCATTGGGATGGCTTATTAATTGGTATAGACTTCACAATGTTTCAACATTTTACTTTTTACAGATTATTGCAAAATTGAAATGATTTAAACAAATATCTTTTAAGGGCTTACTTTAGTTTTTTTAGCTGGTTTTCTAAATGCCAGTTCTGATGGCCACCATTCAGGAGACCATCTCTGCAGGCTTCTTGTGTGGCACGAGCTCTTTAAGAGTTGCCAGGGAGATATAGTGGGTGCAAAAACTGCATCCTTCTCTGCCCTTCCCCACCATTGCATCTCTTTTCTCTTGACTGCCTCCATTCTGTTGATTTTGCTCCAAGATCTTTTCCTCTGATTTGCCCTTTGTATTGATATCTTTGGGCAGTTGGCCAAGTTTCTAATTTGGCATCACCTCAAAATGTTGCATTTGCTGCCATCTCCTTCATACTCCACTCATGGCACCTTCCCACCCCAACCTTCTTAGCTCCCCAGTGGCCATCCCACACACTTCCCATACTGGGAATGAAGAGAAGAGATAGTTTTGTAAATAAGCTAAACTTTCATATAACCAAAATTCAATTGATAATTCCTAAAATCCTTATAAATGCATTTCTTCGAAATACAGGGTTTTAGTAATATAAAAGTGATTGTACCTGGAGAGTGAGATTCAATATTAGAAGGAGTAATTTATAATTTTAAACCATTCTATACAATTTGATTTTTTTTTCTTTTTACTACACACATGATTTGCATTAAGTTCAATTATTTTTGATTGGTCTTACACCCTTTAATAATAAGAGCTCACTCAAATTCAGTTTGTGTGGCTGGATAAGAAACAAAGATTTTCCTTCTTACTTGTGGTATCTGCTTCCATCAGGTTGTTTCACTCTTTCCCAGCTATAAAATAAATATCCAGTATATATCAATGGAAGGAGAAAATCCCCTTGAAGTTAATGATGTCAGTGTTGTCAATCTATTGCAATGCCTCATCCTCTCCTCAGTCTAGCAGAGGATGTTTGAGTTAAAGCAGCATTGGCCTTGTACTATATGACCGTATAAGACTGTGTCCTCAGAACATAATGGTCATCAATTCCATTAGTCAATTTCCACTGTTTTTTTGGATCCATTACTATATACTGTATACTGTGTCACTGTATGCACATTCCTGTACACTGTGCTTCTGATGTTTTAATGGGCTTATGCTTCCCAGATAGGCAAGACTTTTTTAATCAGGCTAGTATTTATATTTTTAAATCAATTGGATAGTTTACATAGAGAAAAGTCTCCAAATTGGCTTTTCCTTTTGTTTTAAAATAATTTATTCTTTCAATACCCCCCTTTCTCCCCCACCCTTGGCTTCTTCCAGGTAGATACTAGGAGTACAAACATGAATAAAAATGGCCTTGATACTAAAAGAATTCATAGTCTAGAAATAATTATACTTCATCTCGGTAAGTATTATGGCTATGTATAAATAAAATGGAGCACAAAAGTGGGAACCAACAAGATTAAAAATGACATTCTCCACTTGAATGGAATAGGCCTTTTGGAATTTAGTCTATTTAGTAATATTAACTATAATCATTATTTTTAAAATAATTATTTATAATTTGCTACAGATAATTTATATCTTTTCAAATGACTAAGTGATTTATTTAGAAATAAACTGAATTTAGTATCCAGTGAAAGATTAAGTCCAGACTATCCTTAATTTTACTTATGAAGTAGACAAACTAAATGATTTTCTGATTTTTTTCTTCTTTACAAATAAATTCTTTCTTTTTAAATTTTTTTTTTCAACATTTATTTATTTTTGGGACAGAGAGAGACAGAGCATGAACGGGGAAGGGGCAGAGAGAGAGGGAGACACAGAATCGGAAACAGGCTCCAGGCTCTGAGCCATCAGCCCAGAGCCTGACGCGGGGCTGGAACTCCCGGACCGCGAGATCGTGACCTGGCTGAAGTCGGACGCTTAACCGACTGCGCCACCCAGGCGCCCCACAAATAAATTCTTTCTACTTTCCATTGAGAACCTATTCTAATTTCTTTCTTTCTTCGTGTTTTTTTTTTTTTTTTTTTTTTTTTCCTAGCTCCTGGTGAACTGTACCCATCTTTTTTTAGATATGAAATCAATGTATCCCAGACCAGGCCACATCCTGGCTACTCTCCCAAGTAAATCACAGTGAAAAAAAGTGAACTCTGAAGTATGCAAAACTAGTTGGAGGAATCAAATAAATACAAATTTGGTGTTTTATATTCAGTGTAGCCTTGATTTTGGAAAATATATGAAAATTCTACATAGGAGAGTTGCTAGCTATTTATTTATTTAATTTATTTATTTATACCTTGGTTTTCTCACTAAGGAACCCATTACAACTTTTCTATCTTCACCATATAAAATAATATATTAAGTGCTTTCAAAGATGATTAGTATACTTATCCTTCTCTAAATCAGCATCTAAAAAGTTAACATGTCTCTATCTGAGAATTTTAAGACTAACAGCACTATTGTATGGACAACTGCAAAGATGATGTGAATTAGTCAGTTTCATTAATTTGTTTTAGCAAGGGATTTAGAGTCTTCCCAAACCAATAATTAAGAGATTTCCAACTACTCTTGAGGTTTACATTAACTGCTTTGGGGGCTATCAGTTTTTAGTAGGTATACTTGTTGAAATGCCTAGATGAGTAGATTTGATCTGGAATGATAGTTCATATATAATTCAGTAGGACCAGCAAAACTTCCCGTGTCCACTTTCCGAAGTGCCAACCACATGTGTTTTTCCCTTACTACTCCAATGTAAGCCTGAATTCTAGACATTATGAAACATGTTAGCCAGACCCCTACAGGCTTTTAGTAAACAGAATTGAGTGTAAATAATATTTATGACTTCGTAGACTACTTGGCCAAATCCACCTTAAAAGACAGTTTCATTCTGCTTATACAGCAATGTTTCACCATCTACAGTAGCACACATGCACATATACAAATTACACTTGGACCAAGCCAAAAGAAGAGACAAAAATGTAATTCACCCAGGAAAGAAATGTATAAAGGAAGGTGACTAAACTGAGACTTCATACAACTGTTTATTTGTCATAAAACTATCCGTGAGCTAAGATATAAGCATAAGCATTAAGTGAATGACAGTTGTTTTATTGTATTTTCAACGTTTTTAGTTGTATCTTAAAAAATACCAGATGCTGTTCACATGATGCCAAACATATGGCTTTTGCCTGTGCTCTTGTGATCTGTAGTAGATTGCTATAATGTACAGGGCAGGGAAAAAAACCGATTTACAGATAGCCCTGGCCTGAGTGGCTTACAGCTGGATCTAATTTCACTGAACTGATCGCCTCTCCCTCCAGCACCTTCTATTTTATCAAATGCCACATATTGTTTTTTTGAAGTGGTTCTTGTTGTCCTAGTGAATACCACAGATGGATAGCACACAGGACATTTGGTTGTCTGCTTTCTGCCTAAGGTCAGGACCTACTGTTGTTCATGTTTGGGTGGAGGACGTATTTCATGGGACTGCCCAAGAAATTTAATGAGTTTCAGCTGTCTAAGAGATAATGTATAAGACATTGCTCACTTGGTTGACATACTTAGAGGCCATTATAGTCATCTGGGTTCTTAGGCACTAATATGGTTCCTCCCAAGTGTGTCTTTTCTTTGTATCAGTTACTAAGCTGACATATCACCTGGAGAGATGATGAAAAGGATAAGAAGAAGAATGAATAAATGCTAATAATTACTCAATTTAATTGTGATTGTCTATATACTTTTCTGTCTCTCCTACTAGATTTTAAGCTTCTTGCGGGAATAAAATATGTCTTGTTCAACATTTAATGGTCTGCACATTAGCCCAAGGGCTGTACACAGTAGGGACTTAAGTATTTTTTGAATGAATAGACGAAAGAGCAAGCATTCAAAGAGTTTCTGTAGATAATTATGGAGGAAGAGGATGAGTAGGATATGAATGGTAAGATTGTAGATCTGTGTTTCCTAATTTTTCTCTAAGCCCTCTCGTTTTAAGATCCATCTTTGTTTCTGCTTGTTATAGGATCTGTTTCTTTGTATGTACATTTGCTACATTTTACCTATCACTCCCTAACTGATGGATGCCAAGACTGACTCCATATCCCTTCCAACACAAAGACTGACTCCATCTCCCTTCCAACACGGGATAATTTCCAGGCATCTCTACTGCGCCATGATATTATGATGTGGGACCATATGGGAAACAATTGCTATCCACACTTGCAGGTGGGGCTGGTTGTGTTTTAAAATGTTACTGAAACCATAGTTTCTGCCCCCCCCCCCTTTTTTTTAATGGGAGACTTTTCCATGAGGTTTCTACCTCCTTGGGCTTCATTTAGGAAACCAGGCACAGATTTTCCAAAACCACCTATAGGGATTCTCTTGTCTACCACTGCCTTCTCCAGTTAAGTCCACTGAGAGGAGAGTACATTTCTTTTTGCTCTCTGAAACCCAGCCATATCCAACATATTCAAACTAGTTTACATTGTCAGGGCAATGAAAACTATATATTACAGTTCTGTGTGTATAGGACAGTCATCTTCATGGCTTAGCCTTTTGAGTGCTGTAACACCCCACTAGTAAATAAAAATTGGTTTCCCATATCTGTTCTTGCCTTCTTATGATCCATTATCTACAATGTAGCTAGTTGTTCTTTAAAAAAAAAATTAAGGACTTATTATTTTTTTCAATTTGTCTTTACAAACTACACATAACCCAAAACTTGCCATCTTAACACTTTTTAAGTGGATAGTTCAGTGGTATTAAATACATTCATAATGTTCTACAACCATCACCACCATCCATCTTCATAACAATTTCATCTTGTAAAACTAAAACTCCATACCCTATGTTTTCTTCTAAGAGTTTTATAGTTTAGGTCTTACATTTAGGTTCTTGATCATTTTAAAATAATTTTTGTATATAGTGTTAGCTAAGGGTTCAACTTCATTCTTTTATCTGTAGATATCCAGTTTTCTAAACATCATTTGTTGAAAAGACTGTCCTTTATCTAATGAATGCTTTTTGCACCACTGTAAAAAATCATTTGACCAAGAGAAGATAACAGAGTAGGAGGATCCCAAGCTCCCCTGTCCCATGCATACAACTAGTTAAAACCCACATCAGTTAAATAATGCAGAAAATTACCTGAAGACTGGCAGAGCATATTCTTCACAGGTAGATGTAGAGAAAAGTCCACACTGAAGAGGATAGGAAGGGTAGAGTTGCAGTCGGGAGCCAAATGAACCCACGGGGTAGTCCATGAGAGGGAGGTACGTGAAAGGTGTTGGAGAAGGGAGAGGACCAGACCCCCACACCAGGCACTGAGGCACAAAGAGATGGCACAACAGCAACCCTGCTAGGATACAGCATAGAGTCAGCAATTTGGATAACACCTGGAGTATATAGAAGGAGATTTATTTATTAACCTCAGAGCTTGTGCTGGAGGGGCAGAAAGTCTTGGGAGACTTCTTCAAGAACAAAAGAGCTGGCAGGAGACATTTTCCTCTGCCACCTCCCACCTACATACACAGACACCTGTGAGACCCAGCATGACTTGAACACTCTCCACCTAGCTTGCTAACAACATGCTCTGCCCCCATGTGCTTCTGCAGATCCACCCCCTCCAACCCAGCCATCTCTACAGTTTTACCAGGCAGCTAGAGGCTCCCTCACACAGAGGATCAGCTCTGACCTTGCTAGCAATGCACATCCTACTTCCACATTCCCCTACAGACCTGCTCCTTCTAATACTCTCCTGGCTAGAGCTCATCCAAAGTCCCACAAGCCTGGCAGTGTGCCAGCACCCTAACAAGAGCCAGCACCACTCCAAAGTGACCCCTGCCCCAGGAAGAAGGGAAAATAACCACACACACCAGACCAACTGTGGCCCCAGCAGTGAGCTGGGGGCAGTCATCTGTTCTGACTGCAGCCCCACCCACCAGTGAAAACTTCTGAGGAGACAACACAGAGAAAGTGCCATGTAGTTCAGTGCTACTGCATCTCTGGCAAATGCCTGATCTCACCTCAAGCCCAAAGTGACCCCGGACTGGCCCATTAACAACACAGGGACAAAAGAAGCAAAGAGAATCATTGCACACAGCTGGACTAAAGACATATGTGCTTCAGCCACAACAGTAGGGTGACACATAGGAGACACTCTTGAAGTGCCAGTTTCTGGTGAACAGGGGACATTGCACTTCAGGGTAGCACAGGATCTCTTATTCATAGAGCCACTACTTTCGAGAGCAAGAGACCTGACTTTCCTAAGAAAGAAATGTGGAAACATAGTAACAGACACAGAAAATTACACAAAATGAGACAGAGGAGTATGTCCCAAATGAAAGAACAGGACAAACTCATAGAAGAGAGCTAAATAAAAGAAAGATGAATACTATGCCTCATGGAGAATTTTAAGTAATGGTCATAAAGATACTTAACTTGAGAAAAGAGTGCAGGACCTCAGTAAGACCCTTAATAACGAGAAAACGTGAAAAAGAACCAATCAGACTTGAAGAACTCAATAACTAGTGTAATAAATATACACTAGAGGTAATAAATAGTAGACTAGAGGAAGAAGAATGGCTTAACGACCTAGAGGACAGAGTAATGGAAAGCAATCAAGCTCAATAGGAAAAATAATAAGTAACGAACATAGGAAACTCAGTGACATCATAAAGAGTTATAGCATTTACATTATAGGGATCCCAAAAGGAAAAAAGAGAAAGGGGAGCAAAAATTTTATTTGAAGAAATAATACCTAAAAACTTTCTGAATCTGGGGGATGAAACAGAAATCCAGATCTAGCAGGCAAAGAGAGCCCCCAACAAGGGGATCCACACCAAGACACATAGTAATTCAAATGGAAAAATGTAGTGAGAAAGAGAATTTTTAAAGCATCAAGAGAAAATAAAGCAGTTACATACAAGGGAAACCCCATAAGGCTATCAGCTGATTTTTCAGCAGAAATTTTTCATGCCAGAAAGGAGTCATATGATGTATTCAAAGTGCTGAAGGAAAAAAAAAACCCTACAGCCAGGAATACTCTATTCAGCAAGGCTATTTTTCAGAATAGAAGGAGAGATAAAGAATTGCCCAGAAAAACAAAAGGTAAAGGAATTCATGACCACTAAACTAGCTCTACAAGAAATGTTAAAAGGGATTCTTTCAATGGAATGGAAAGACTGTAAGTAGGAGTAAGAAAAGTTGGAAGCACAAAAACAGTAAAATGAAGCATATCTATAAAGATGAGTCAAGGTATTTACAAAATAAAAGGATGTAAATTATGACACCATAAACCTAAAACGTGGGGTTGGGGAAGAGGAGAAAAGAATCAGTTCAAATTAATGCCCATCAATTTAGTATAGATTGGTTATGCACAAGATGTTATACATAAATCTAATAGTAACCACAAGTCAAAAACAAGTAATAAATATCAAAAAATAAAGAGAAAGAAACCCAAGTATATCAGTAAAGAAAGCCAGAAAGCCATGAGAGAAGAGAGCAAGAAAAGAAAGAGAACTATGAAAACAACCATAAAACAAATAAAAAGATGGCAATAACTATATACCTATCAATAATGACTTTGAATGTAAATGGACTAACTGCTCCATTCAAAAGACGTAAGGTGATGGAATAGATAGAAAAGCAAGACCCATCTGTACGTTGCCTACAAGAAACTCATTTCACACCTAAAGACACATGCAGATTGAAAGTGAAAGGATGGAAAATAATTTATCATGCAAATGGCAGTGGAAAGAAAGCTAGGGGGTCAATATTTATATTGGGCAAAATAGACTGTAAAGCAAAGAGTAACAAGAGACAAAGAAGAATAAACCAACGAGATAATGCAACAATTATAAATATTTATGAACCCAATATGAAAGCACCCAAATATGTAAAGCAGCTAATAACAAACATTAAAGAAGTAATTAATAGTAATACAATAATAGTAGGGGACTTTAACTCTCCACTTACATCAATAGATAGATCATCCAAATAGAAAATCAACAAGGAAACAGTGGCTTTGAATGACACATTGGACCAGATGGATCTAGCAGATATATTCAGAACATTCCATTCTAAAACAGCAAAATATACATTCTTTTCAAGTGTACATGGAACATTCTCCAGAATAGATCATATGTTATGCCACAAAACAAATATGAATGAATTTAAAAAGATTGAAGTCATACCATGCATCTTTTCCAACCACAGTGCTATAAACTAGAAATCAACCAAAAGAAAACAATCTGGAAAAAACACAAATACATGGAGGTTAAATAACATGCTACTAAACAATGAGTGGATGGGTCAACAAAGAAATCAAAGAAGAAATGAAAAAAAATACATGGAGACAAATGAAAATGAAAACACAATAGTCCAAAATCTTAGGTATGCAATAAAAACTGTTCTAAGAGGCAAGTTTACACTAAAGGAAGTTTACAGTCCTGCCTCAAGAAGCAAGAAAAATCTCAAATAAACAACCTAACCTTACACCTACAGGAGCTAGAAAAAGAAAAAAAACAAAACCCAAAACCAGTTAAGGAAGGAAATAATAACAATTAGAACAGAAAGAAATGAAATAGAAACTAAACAACAACAGTAAAAACCCCACAATAGAACAGGTCAATGAAATCAGGAGGGTTTTTTTATTTTTAAGTTCATTTACTTATTTTGAGAGAGAGAGAGACAGCAGGAGGAGCAGAGAGGGCGGGGAGAGAGAGAATCCCAAGCAGGCTCTGCACTATCAGTGCAGAACCTAACATGGGGCTCAAAATCACAAACCATGAGATCATGACCTGAGCTGAAACGAAGAGTCAGACACTTAACCAACTCAGCTACCCAGGCACCTCAGAAGCTGTCTTTTTGTACAGATCAACAAATTTGATAGACCTTTAGACAAACTCATCAAAAGAGAGGGTTGGGGAGAGAGAGAAGGAGAACTGAAAATCTAAAATGAAAAGATAAATAAAAACTGATACCACAGAGATAACAAAGGATTATAAAAGAATGTTATGAAAAACTATATTTCAACAAATTGGACAACCTAGAAGAAATGGATAAATTGCTAGAAATATATAATCTCTCAAAACTGCAATAGGAAGAAATTGAAATTATGAACAGATCACTTACCAGCAATAAAATTGAATCCATAACCAAAAAAAACTCTAAACAACAAAAGTCCAGGACCTGACGACTTCACAGGTGAATTTTACCAAACAGTTTAAGAAGAGTTAATACCTATTCTTCTCAAACTATTCAAAAAATAGAAGAGGAAGGAATGCTTCCAAATTCATTTTATGAAACCAGCATTACCATAATACCAAAACCAGATAAAGACAAAACAAAAAAATAGCTACAGGCCAATCTCTCTGATAAAGGTAGATGCTAAAGTTCTCAAGAAAATATTAACAAATTGAATCCAAAAATATTTTTAAAAAATCATTCACCAGGATCAAGTGGAATTTATTCATGGGATGCAAGTATGGTTCAAGATTCACAAATCAATTAACATGATACATTCACATCAAGACAATGATAAAAGCCATATGATCACCTCAATAGATGCAGAAAAAGCATTTGACAAAGTGTAACATCACTT